TACTTTATATATTTATTTAACAGAAAGAAGGAGTGAAATATAAAATATTATTTCAATTACATCATAATATTCTGTTAAATGTTTTTTACACACAAATGCAACTCTTTTTATATAATTTTTAACGCTTTCCAGTCCTTATTTTTTGTGATCGCTTAGTTGGATATGCTTACATCCAGGGACGAGTTGTCTCCCGCCCCATTTAACATAACGCGTCTTATTTCCCCACGGAAGCACCTTTTTAAAAACAGTAATTGAACATAGCTGTCGTGGTGGTAGTATAATTCTTACAAATACTCACAAAAATATGCTTTATTAGTTAAGTAACTGGTGTAATATATTTGTTTATTATGTTGGCAGAGTTATAAAGAATATAAAAGTTTACTTTTTATTCATCCTCCCCAGTATCAGTCCGTAACACTTTATCTTGGCATCAGTATCGTATCAAAACTTTTTAGATCGAAATCTTTTATTCAGATAGCAAATGGACCATTCTGGACTAACTTCTCCGTCTTTATGACTAGTAAGTACCCGTTATATTTTACGGCAAACAAGATGCTTAAGTATTTGAAAATAAAACTATTGTAAAACTTAGATCCACGTTTTAAATTAAAATTGTCATGATTATCAGTATGGCGTAATTAAATTTAGGATATTGAATGGTAGAATTAATAGATTTATAACAATTTCTATTAAACGGTTTCATCATAAATTCATTATTAATTCTTTGATAACATTCTGTCTTAAACATTTCATTGCAATATCAAAATGTGATTCATTAAAAATATAACGTAATTAAACCCTTTTTGATAAGCCATTTGTGTTATATATTGCGAAACAATATGAATTCTAAGTACCAAAATACATTTTGAAATTCATATAGCGACTTCGTGTCATGAAAAATTCATTTATTATAAACAGATCTGAGCTTTTATACCATCGAAAGCAGCTCGGTAATACAATTTGCGATTTGTTATATCGCATTACGAAACAAAAACTTGAATGAAGTGCGCAAGAATTTATGTTTGTTGATATTTAAATGTGGTTGGTATTATTTTGCACTTATGTTCAACGAGTGCAATAGCCACGCTCGGCGTTTATAATCTTTGGCATTTCACAACTTTCATTCCGTCTCAAGGATACGACAAAGGAAAGGGATTTTGAATGTTTATATTAATAAGGGTCCGTATTTATCTTATAATATTTAAGTATTAACAAATATATTATGTCTTTAAAACAGTATCAGCAAAATATTATTTAGCATAACAGATGTTTAGGTTTAATTACTTTCCAAAAGTTGTTTTTATACGAAAAAATACATCGAGTATTAGACAAACACTTTGAAAACTTGACCTAAATTACTATATGAAACAAAGCTATGCGGACAGTGTGAGCCACAGTCATATCTCCCGCATAATGCCTGTCAAACACGATCCCACAACGCATGCATATGACAGAGGCATATGCAAATTCCGAGGGTGTTGCGGCGCTTGCCATGCAATAACTAGGTCGCAACCACACAATCACCTGAATACAGGAATAATGAACAGTTATAGAAGTACAAATGCCTATAAACAACTTTAAAGTTAGCTACAGAAATTGTATTGAATTTGCGATTTCATAAGCTTAGCCGTCGCCTGTAGCGCAGAGGCGTTGACGCAATTATTGTCTTCAAAGTTATTTGCGTACACACAATGAATACATACATTTTATATGAAAATCTATATAAAATTTAATGTATATTTATTTTTATTAACCATAGAGTTATGACAATAAAATGAGTAATACATATAAACAGTTAATTGACATTCAACACTTCGAAAGTGTTTTGTGTACTTAGTGTACCTACAGATGTAATGTTTTTTCTTGTCTTCTTTTTTTAAATAAATAGTTATTAAAATATTAAAAAAAACTATAACTTCGAGAAAACATAAATTTACTGAAACACAACATTAACATTTTTGTAAACGATGGCGCGAAGCCTTATCTTAAACTTAAACTCCTTTCAAATACATAAAGTATGACAAAAAATTTTTGTTAATTTGAATTTTACTCATTTCTCTCTCAGAACCCTAAAACTAACCTGGAATAAAAAATAAGTATGAATTAAGTACAAAATTAATAAAATAATTATGAATTACATAAAGAAATATACAGATTAGCTGTATATTTCTTTACGACATATATCTTTTCATAAAAAAAGATAAATTCAAACACTTATGTAATAAGAAGAATTGTTTTAAAGATAATTAATTAATAATTTTAATTTAAATGAAACTATGGTGTCAAAATTAAACGGTTACTCCTTTACGTTTTGTGTTTATATTTGTACATTGCCATATTGGTTTCATACTAAATTAGAAACCCAACAAACACGTTTAATTGGAGCACATTTATCACCGCTATTGTTATGCTAACCAGACCCAACTCATCAACAGCTATTTGGAAGGTGTATTCGACATTGGTTTCGATCGATATTAATTCATCTAAAGACTACACAACACAGTTATTTATATGATAATTACTTTTATTATTATTTCCAGGACTTTGTTCGATTTACAGTGAATGTACCACTACAAACCTTCTTGCACTTTAGTTGTCCTAATCAGGCAGACATATGTATATGTATAGATGTTAAATATAATATTTTTCTTATAAGTACCATTTAGAAGACTTACTCTACGTAAAATGACGGTATGAACATACGTACGTACAACATATTTATTATAGATGAGAATATTATTATTATTATTATTTGTGTTTTATAATATCAATGTTTCGATTGTAATTACTGGTAAAACAAAGTCATATGATAGACGTTACAACATTTACTTTCGATAAAGATGTTGTAAACCGAGTGGAGCGTTGCATTAAAAGTTAAAAGCCAATATTAAGCAACTGTAAAGTCGTTTCGCTAACTTACTATATTATTAATTGCTCTGTTGTTTCTATTAATGTTTCAAATAATATAAATTTCAATATCAAAACAATTAGCAGATTTAAAATTTAATTATAAAGTTATATCATAGTAATAAACTGCTTGGAGGAATTATTTCATTGAATTTTTTCCTCGACTTTCGCGAATTAAAATAATGTCATGTTTTTTTATGTGCGTTAAGTTCACGGCTCAACCTTTGCATTAAGGATAAAGAACTTGGAGCGTATTTGTTAATTTCAGCGCTCATTTTTTCTTCCGACATATTTTCAAAGTCAGTCTTGTGACAAGTTTTTAAAACAAAGGTAATGTTTCGTGACTAGGAAAATGTTAATTTCGGGTTGAATAACTTTTTATATTTATATTAAAACATTATATATGCACTAATTAGAGACCGAATATCTTCTTTGTTGAATGTAATAGCAGGCAAAAATCCAAAATAGATACATCTTGAAAGTACTTAATGTAAATGGGACTATGTCGGCTTAGAAATTATGATTGTTTTATTATTTCCAAATCACAAATTAATTGGTTACTATTTGTTAAGTATATTTAATCAAAACAGTCGGTGAATTTTTTATATTTTAAAAGATATCAAAGTACATTTTTTATTGTCAGCTGAAATGAAATGTATGAAATGAAATGTAATATTAATTATGTTTCTTATTGAACAAAGTTATAAGTAGTTTACTTCGTTCTTCAAAAAGTTTTCAGAAGACAAATATAGAAGAAGATAAATTCAGATTAAAAACATAGTTCCACTATAACTTTCAAGAATTGTCCTCTTTGAATATTACAGCGTTGAATTGGATACCAGAAATTGTTATTAACTTTTCGTGTCAGTCGACATTCTGGGGAATATGGACGTAAGATAAAGAGATTTTCATGAAATTTTTCCTTCATGTTGATATAGAATAAAGCAGGAAAATTAATAAAAATGTTTGTCAAAATGATATGCGAAATAGAAAAGTAAGCTTGTTCAATTTTTTGTCAAAATGATTGAACAGAACTATCAATCACTTTTTGTATTTTTTTATTATACTACAATTATAAATGAAACAATTATTAATGCAAAATGGGAATATTTATATATATATATAGTTAAATTATTATTTATAACTATGTTTCAATATTTTAAATTAAAGTTCATAAATTATTGAAAAACAATATTGTAACATACGTTATGCAGTTTTAAATATACCTCATATAGTTTTTATTTTCATACAACATAATCTAAAAGAAAGTGATAAAAAGTATTCCGCTTTGCTTTTATCGTGAACCTAAAACTACATGTCGCTTTAATATGAACAATGCTAAAAGGAATTGCTTTTAAAGATGACATAGACTTCATTCAAAATACATTTTATGTATGAAAGGAGATTCTTTGGTTCATAGAAGTGATTTTTGTTCTATTTACATATTAACTTATATAATAAAATGTGTATATACGATAAAACTCATAACAGGCCCATTATATATTCACATAGAAGTTTAGAGAAATTTTAGATTTCACCAAATAATTTCATAATCAGATATAATAAGCTTATGTAATAAATATAACACAGTGTAAAAACAGTGAAATCTTATTTTATTAAATTGTATTTATATGTAATACATATATATTTTAAAAGTTACGAAATAAAATACATTGGATGCTATTGATAAGACAGCAAAGCACTCTGCTTTGTTGTCTTAGCTTAGTACGTCTCAAAGGGATTGCAGTTCCATTTCTAAATTATATTGAAACACTAGAAAATAATGTCAAAGAATAATCTCAACTGAAATGATCTTCAAGGTTCTTTATAATAGTTTTTCTAAGTTTCAACTTACGTTATTTATCCAATTTATTTTGTTTGCTGATTGATTGATATTCATAATGACTGTAGTTCTGTAACAATCAGATATTAATATTCAATGTGGAATCGTCGAGAATAATTTTGATACCATTTAATTAATTCCATACGTTTTTGTTTCAGATATTGCGATGTGCGTTAAACTGTAACAACCTTCACGGATTATAATTTATCGGAACATATTTGCAATGCGCTATTGAGAACGTATATGAACAATGTATAAAATTAATTTATTTGTGACATTGTTTTTGTGTGTGAGTTACGTAAGTGGAAAAGTGAACTCTACGGACGATGGGACAAGCTCTAGAATGGCTTGGATGAAGAGTCTGTTGGACCATCATGACTGGATTAACGTACTGAATGGAAGCCATAATGTGTCCGAAAAGTGTGAATCGGATTTGAGGCAGTACTTGACAGCGTTGAATGATGGACTACTGTGGGCTTCCAAAAGTAAGTTTCTTTTTTTGGAACATAATTCATTAATGATATATATCTCTCAGCATTTCCTAACAAAATTATGATTTAGCCAGTTTATCCATTTTTTAATTTAATTTATTAATAGTATTTCAAGTCTTAAATAACTGGAAAATCCAGACGACTGCAATATTAATAAGACAAAAGCGCGGAATGACCTCTAGACGTAAACAATATCTTTACCTCAAGCTAGGTGGTATTATTTTAAACAAATAAACATAGGTCTATCGATATGTATAGATACCTAAATCCTGCCAAAAATACGGTTAAACCAATAATACTTTTATTATTTTGATAGAAAAGGCTAGAAATGGACCAAAACAATCGTGAAACAATTACTATTTGCTAATGAGGTTTTACTTTTAAGAAACCGTATTTATTTCATTATTTGAAATTAAATAAATAAAATCTTAATATATTATAAGATTCTATGAAATTATGCAATCGCGAAGGTTTCAAAGATCATTGACCTCCTTATTCTGTAATTAAAGTACGTCGAACGTGCCTCTGTTAATTATGTAATCATGAAACAGGTCTATGGTACTCGTAAAACACTCGTTACGGTCCCCATTTATATGGATTCATTTGTAAAAGTAATAAAATTGTATTTAATATGAATGATAATTATAATGTATGATATAAAATCTATAAATGTAATATGGCTTACACGTTACATCAAATTCGATTATAGAATTGAATTTAATGTTGCGAAATCCATTAATATTGTAAATGTGAAAGTCTGCGAGGACGGTTAGAAGTCTGCTTAACTAATCGTTTAAAATACACGACTCACTTATTTTATATTAAATATTGCGATATTACCTAAAATTTATATTAAAATGTAATATGTAAATATTTAGACATATGTATAATATTTTTTTCCGTGACTAAAGCTATGACCAAATATGTGGGTAACAACTAGTTAGAAATACAATGAAACAAATCGGTTATTAAAACGTACGTACATTAGAATTATTGACCTGGATATTGCGTGAGTAAAATACCTTTCGATGGTTCGTTACATAATCGATTTGGTTCCATGCGTGAATATAAAATGACCGTAGAAGGCTTGGCGCCGCCGCAGCATCGATTTCATTATCTGCGTTACGTTTATTATCAATTGGTATAAAAAGTAGATACAAACCGAGTAAAAATTATATATAATAAGTTACTGAAACTATTACTTCTTTTTCATAAGAACATTTAATGCATCCAAGGACCTGATAAAATGGAATCTCATTTTGGAATTAGTAGATAAAATTTTTAAGCAATCTGGTTCGTACTACATAATAGTTAACCATCCTCTTTTAGCTTTGCTAAAAGCTTTTTAGCAAGCGCTTGAATACTAACTTGGTTGAATTCAAAATTCTCTATTCGTAAAAATATTTAATACTGTGACATCGTTGCGACTAACAGTGAAGTACCTTTATTATAAATCTCTTTAGGAACAATTTTTATGACTTGTCAACCGGATTCACAAAAGAGATTCAAGTACATCTCACACATCCATTTATCACCGAACAATGCTTTTCCACTGTTCCTGCCCTAAAATATAAGGGCTTACAAGATACATTACTTCCCTTTCGAGTAGCTATGATATTCATTATTGTTCGCCCTTTTTCTTTAAAATAGGTTTGAAGTTAATTTATTTTAAGTTATGTAAAATCAAAATTATATTTAAGTCAAGTTTTTTGGTATACTTTATAAAATAGGACATTTACACTACATTAATAAACAGTCCGTTTCTTTAAAATATAACATTGCTGTTGCTTCTTTATGACAGTTTTTATCGCTTAATAAATATAAAAAATGTGACATTAGTGTTTCTTACGTTATCAAAATTTACTCACTTCATAGGAGAGTATTTCTCACAGATATTTTTAATAGTACTTTGGTTTGTATTTTTTTTACACTATTTGTGTAATTTTGAGTACAGCAATGGTTATGAAATAAGTTTCGAATTGTCTATAGATGGCTGTTACTACTGACTCGTATTTCGAATAAAACGTTTTGGGGTTTGATTTATTGGCTTGGTTCAATTTCTCCTATCTATTTAAACAACATATACTTTACAAACCAAGAACAGCTTGCTAGCTTTCGAACGTTACTAAGAATCATATTGAGCAAGCATTCATATAAAATAAAACACTCGTTTAAAGTATTATTAAATTAAGTTATTTATTAAATTAAAGTAAGTTATTAATATTTTTATACATTGAAACAAAGAAACTTTACTGTAAACTTTTATTACTTGTATTATTAATACAATTGCGTGTTAAAATGTGGTCAATGGCCAGGAATTTCATTATAAAAATTAGTACATTATATCGAAGTTAATAGTGTATTTAAAAACAAATCAACAACAAAAGCGACCCAACTGGTTCTGATTGCGTTTTCTTCGACGAATTTTATATGTAGGTTACGTATCATCCATTCTCCACATTTAATTGACAATTGCAAAACCGAAAAGAATTAATAATCAAAACATTTCTAATGTTTTTAATATGTTTCCAATGCCATTTACATTATTTTACATCTATACTAATCTATTTTAATGTGTCTATATGATCGTTTTTAATATTATTTATTTGGGTTGCTTTTAAAATAGCCGTCGTCGTATCTGAGTAAGGAGAAGCGTACACTTCGTGCCTCCGCATTGCTCAGAAGTTTTAAATCACAAGGCGAATGTAAACTACGCTTCGTCTCAGCTTTCAGAATTTTTATGCAGTTTTCGAGACAATGATGTAAATAATTGTCTTTCTCTCTTCTACTATCCGTTAAACTAGATATTACTGAATAATAAACTACATTCATCCGATCCAAGGTTCATCCATTCAATCCATTACTGTTATGAAAGCTAAATTGCAAAGTGCTTGAGATGATATTTTATTCAAAACACAGTACTGTGTAGCACAGTAAATGTAAACTATAAAATTCTTTTATGTTCCTAGCTTATTGTGTCACTTTCTTATATGTCTGTTGAGCACTATATATTTAAATATGTAAATTATTTTTATCTAAATGGATATGTTATATAGAATTTGTCATGTAAATATAAGTAAATACTTTATAAATTGTAAAATACGCGAAGTTGAAATACTTTGGCGCTAGAATTTTTCATTGAAAATGAGAATTCAGATTGTGAAATTAACAACGTCATTCAATTTGTAGCTTTTGTGAATCATAGTTATGTATTCATTTGTATCGGTCAAATACTTAACCTGCTTTACAAAAATCTACATAAATAGACATTCCAAACTTTACCTGCATTTAAGCTTGACCTAAAATCCGGATTCATAAATCGTTCTCGCAGTCGAAACTGCTAGCAAATGCTATTAGACTTCAGGTGATATCAGCTAATAATTTTCCCCAAAAATGTATATTATGTTATCAGGATTTCTGTGCAAAATTACCATATTTTATATGTCATCTTACTTTAGAGCATTTTCAAAGGTTTTTCCATTTTTTACAAAACTTAAAAAACAGCAATTGATTTTTATTTAAGATAATACTTCCTAAGTTCTTACGCTTTTAATAGCGTCTGTGACCTATTTCTGAGCGTAATTAGATGAAAAATCTCTCGGAAGTATGAATTTTTAAAAAGCAATCTCTGTCTGGGATTAAATTGCGTATCCACCTAAAATAACTTTTCCCATCCTTAATATCTAAATCGTCGTATTATTTCTTAATAAGAAAAAACCTTGATCTGTAAACGATGTTATGGTATTTAATTTGGTTGAACAATAATTTGAATGTTAATTTTGTTAGTTATTAAATAAATGAAACAGTGTCATTTGTCTGAAACTTTAATCAAAATGAGACAATAAAACTGTTATCTCCTGTGAGAAGTATAAATTATACCAAGATCTTTATACGACCGGGTACTAATTGTGATTGGGTTCTTGTCGCTAGACCCTTACAACCTAATCAATGGATGGTTGTTTAAATGTCGATGAGCTCATCACAGAAATGTGTGCCAAATAAAATCATTCAATTGTAATTGGATAACCATAATAACAAAAATATAGGTGACATTTATATAATTCAGAGCGTAACAATTTTACTGTAAGTGTTGTGCAATGAATAGTTGAACACAATAATTGTTTAATAGAGATGAACCTTAGAAGGTGTTTGAATGTTGGGAAACCGTGACATAACAAAGTACCAGTGACCATGCGGGGCCGGTTCTTACGCAAAGTACATAATGTAAATCGCGAATTTCATAAGTAATGCGTGAAAGTTAACGATTCATTTCTTCACTCGCACAGTTAGCGTTCCGGTCTAACGGGATTTTCATTTCGCATATCTGTCTCCAGACGAGATTAGTGGACGTTTTACGTAATATTACTTGTTAAACTGGTCTATGTTTGTCATGAATTGTGTTTGTCAGTTTGTCGTGTAATTATATTTTGCGAATTTTGTTTGACATCAAACTGGATGATTACTGTGTTAGATAAATATAAACTGTTTGTGTTTTTAGTTTCGCCGTACATATTGATATTAGACTTGTTACGTTAGAAGCCAAGACGCAACCCTTTGAATAACTTATGTAGCACAGATTAGAGCAAGTGTTTAAATATTAATTTACCTTTACCTTGCTGAATCTCAAGTTAATTTTATTAAAACAAATACGTGAAATGTTGGTAAATAAATACATATTGAATTTTATTACTTAACATTCAGAAATTAGTCACGTGATGAGAGAACAATATTGTAAGTTTTATTTGAGTTATAATTAAATATGTTCAAATTATTTTAAATGCTATTATAAAGTATCATTATTGTATAAAATAATTATGTATTAATAACAAAAATATAGAAAAACAATCGAACTTCAAAAGAATTGTATGCAAATTGAATTCTAAATGAAGATTCATTGAACATTTCAATTTATTTTCCGATAACTGCCGTCCGATAACTGACTTCATTCATCTTTTTCATTATCTTATGGTTTAACAATAATATTATAGGAATTTTCATAGTATTATATTAAATTCTTTGTTTCATAGTCATCATTACTTTTCATTGTTATAGATTTGTGTTTTTTTAAATTTATAATTAAACTTATACAAAATTTTCCTCTTTCATAATGAATGAATTAATACATTTTAATAATTATGTAAGCCTCAGCTAAGAACGTTGTTTGCATTCAGGGAAAACCGGCAGCTTTTTTGAACCAAATTTACAAGTTATTAAGTAATATATGTAAAATTTTAAAACTATTTAACTCATACTTGAGACTTAAACATTCTTTATACAGTGACAGTCATAAGAAATATTTATTTTCTTAAAAAATAAAAAACCTAAGAAATTATTTGTGATGTATCTAGGTACTTTATTAAAATAGACGATAATAATTTTTTGCCAAGACAATATTTGTGGTATTAAAATTTTGTACAATTCGCAATAGAAAAATACAAAATAAGTGAGTTGCGTCAAGAATCGTTTATTTACATTTCAACACAGTAAACAAGTTGTTCTCATTTCGAAACGCATACAAACACGTATAGATAAACATAATTTTTGCACTTAGTGATGGACAATATAAATTGCATTGTTTTCTAGTTTATTACAAAATAAAACATAAAAAAATTAGCACTTGTCTAAACTGTAATAAAGTACACTAAACATTTTGTAATTCGTTTAACATGTTCGTCGTAAAAAACTGTTGCAATTTTTTCAAGTCGAACATATTTCGCACTCTGTTTGTCTCTTTAGGTATATTTATTACCTTTGGATAGGTTTATAAGTTTTTAAATATATTTTTACTATGTAATATGCAATAATATAAAATTGAGACAGAATAAAATGTAACGGGTAGTATGATAATAATAAATGTACATAAACATATTTTACTCATTATATTTTCTTGACAGATATCTCTTAAAAGAAAATGGATTATTTGAGTAATGTCTTTTCAATATTTTATCTACTTACAAATGATTTTTTTCTCTTTTGTTTTTATCTCGGGTGGTCTTTGCTTGAAGTTTGTTTAATATATGTATATCCAAGTCTAATATGACATTGTCATTGTTATATTTTATTAAATCTTTTAGAATACTGTTCCTCGATCATCAAAACGGTGCCTTTTGTCCTAACATCAATCCGTTTGTTCATTTGATTCCCCCTTTTGAAGATTCTGGATAAATCTAGAACTATAAAACCGGACAAAAGCATTACCATATAACATAAGTAAAAGAAAAATCAAGAAGCTGCTCAGTTTATAGTTCCAAAAAAAGGTGACTTTTGATTGATAAAATTTCATAGGCCTATCTTAGTGTTTGTGTTCGTATGTTGTATGTTTTAAACAATATTTTAGCGATTAATCTAAATTTATCCCATAATGTGGCTATTACTAGTTATTAAACATTTAAATAGGAGCACTTCTTTAACCAAACTAAATAAAACTCAACAAAATTTTAATTAAAAATATCTCCATGAACTTTTTTAACAATCTTCTCAGTAAATAAAAAAGAACACATTCATTCACATTTAACATTTAAATTTATAATTTCTTTTGACCAGATATACTGGAACCTCGAGACAAAAAGTTTTTAAACGGTATTTATGGTCTTGTGTTTTGCGTAGAAATGTCAAAGCGTGAAGAGCGTTGCGAGTTCCAAAAATCTGAGGCCAATGTCGTTTAATGTCACGACATTGACAAGGGTTTATAAAATATGTTTCAAACTGATAAATGTATGAATTCCATTATACACATTCAAAATAAATTGAAGGATCTCTTTGAGAAATTATTCGGGACCTGTTTAGCTGAGAGAAATCTTATACAATTGTGTATATAGACACGATACATTACTAAGTCTAGGGTACATTATGTTCTACAATTTTTTATATAAATAACATTTGAAGCCCATTTATATTCAGATTTTTTATGGCAACATTTTTGAAAACGTAATTTTCTTGTAAATTAACAAAATTACCTTTCGTAAAAGTTTTCTTATTATAATAATAATTATAAAGCAGATGGTTTCGTTTGATCAGTTCAGCACCTACTGTATAAACTATAAAAACACAAGAGAAAATAGAAATAGAATATGTGTATATGTATACCTACGCGTATGATCTTAATTATAGTTTTAAAACCCTTTCAGTAACTTATGTTATAGCATCATTATAAAATGATATCTAAAATATCAAATCAATTGTGAGACAGATTTCTGTTCAAAAGATATTTACAACATTGTTGATAGCTATAAAAGAAGTTTTCTCCCGATCTTGATGGACTGTATTGTAAGACTTGGTGGCGGACTGATCAAAGAGATTTTGATTGACGTTATTATACCCGAAGGCAGTAGTCGAATTTTGAAAAATAAAGACTTGTTCAGCGAGTGAACTCTAGCTTTTATGTGAATTTTTAAGATGAAAGAGATATCCGAACGACAATTTGTCAGTTTAATTTCATTCAGGATTTATATAGAGGTAAAAAAAACATTCGTAAATACCGCGGAAATCTTCGAAACGGTATTCCTTATCACCGAAGTCTAATACATAGTAAAAATCAATTTTTATACATTTAACATTTTAATAAAACATGCCATGCAAATGTTGGCAAGCTGTTGTAAGATGTAATGACGCAACATTAGCTCCTCATGAATCTCCGTGAAATATTAAAGACGCCAAGCGAATTTTATTAAAACTGTCTAAGGTCTATATTAGAACTTTTAATTAAATACATTTTCTACATTATATTTTGTGTTAAAATAGTTAATTACACTAGAAACTTCGCTTGTTTGTATCCTACTTTCATTATGTTTGATATTTATGCCACAAAATTACTATGTTCACTTTTAAAGTAAACTTTAACAAAATGATAAAACGGTTAATATAAAGTGTACATGATAATTTTAAAATTACTCCTTGCATACTTTAGATAAAGATTTGACAGGTCATAAATATAAGGCCTTTCAAGTTTCAACATCTATATACTTCATTACTTAAAGTTTCCTTATATTATACTACATTTTGAAAATAAATACCAGAAAACAAATACTGTTTTGTGAATATAGTCGGTCATTTTTCTATGGAGGTCATATAAGTTAATCATGCAACCATCACCCAATAATCACATCATCCCGCTAACTTTATAATAAATGACTTTTTGAAATATTGAGGGGATTTGGAGTCAAAGGGCGTAAGATATATTTTACGAGGCAATAATTCACAGCTGCTATAAATGGCCCACAATATAAATTGGACACAAAGCTCATTACATTTTATGCTTTATTTTCTTGAAGTGAACAATTGATGATCATTGTATTTATTGTAACTATTATTTTTAAAAACGTGTGTATGGTAATATTTTATTAGTTATGAGAAAATTAAATTGATTTTGCAGTTATACCAGCAGTCTGGATAAAATTTAAGTGTTTCGTTTGGATTATAAAATAACAAAGGAAGTCATATTTTTTACTAAATTTTTAAAGTATATAAAACGTTTTTAGATGCAGTTAGAGTCAAATTCACTTCAAGTAAGAATATTCTAGAAACTTCTAGTAAAAGAATTCTAGATAATAGATAACCTACAACACTCTTTAGTAAACGTGAAAGCACCTGTAATTAATTTATTTTTAGATGGAATTATCAACTTGTGAAACGAATTATCGTGATTTACGTGAATTGTTCATAATTTTTTAAATTATTTAATTTTACGGCTTTCGTTTGCCAAATGCTTTTGATGGCATATAATATAAGATGTTAAAATCTTCCAAAAATATCACAGTTGTTTATGACATATGTGCGTTGAAGCAGAACGCTTAAAGAAAAATTGCCTCAAAAACTTAAAAAAGTATTTTGTAGTATAAAATTCATCGTGATGTTGCAAGAGTTTTCATCCTATATTTAGGAACACTGTAATGGGAAGACATACTTCGCTTGCCGTATTCTCTAGACGTTTCTCTCTCTGTTTCCTATATCGATCCATGACACACGGCCTAATGGACGAACAACTCCAGCCTTATAAAAGACTTACTTAAATTTTTTTATCGTATCATGTATCACTTCAAAAGATTAACGTTTCAAACGCTTTACAGCGTGGGGGATAATCTGTCTAAACAGAAAGAACAACGCTTGAGTAGTTTAATATTTAATCAGTTACTTAAAATAATGCTTTGAATTGTGAATAAAAAACAGTTAAAGCGAAGTCTATATAAAATGAAAATAATAATGTAAATGAATTAAATTGTGAGACGGTTAGGTTTAGCTTTATTTACTATATTATTATTAATCATATATATTTTTAAATAGTTTTAGTAAATTTTAAGTTTATTGTTCTTTTGATAGTTCAAGTAATATAAAGGTTAAAAAAAATAATTATAGTTACATTTTCGTATTTGATCTAGGTCAGTTTTTATTATTATTATAGTTCATTTCCTTATGCTCTTTCTCTTCAACCAAACTTTTGGCCTTTACCCACTTAAGGCCAGCTGTTTAATTTAAGTTTAATTTTAATAATTCTTATTTTTAGTTCCAATGCAAGGTTATAAAATTATGTCCACTTTAAATATCTAAAGTTAAAGGTAAACCGTTGATTAAATTGACTATCTTTTTAGCAAAATATTTAATATATATTTCTATGTTTCAGTTTATGATGCATCGGGCCAGTATAGCCCAAACATCCTATTTGGCAACGAATTCTGGCTTGGATCAATAAACGCATGTCGTGATTTGCAACACAAAGAGTACTATGCGCAGACGCCGCCTTTCCCTTGTACCTTCTATGTTGCCAAGATTAATCTTACCGTCGATGGAGATCACATACCACAGGTAATTTTTTTTAAAAGCTTGACATAAAATGAATTGCACTTAATACTTTGTTATTTTTCCTTAAATTATGATAATAGTCGTTGAGCTAACTAAGTTTACATTACCTTGATAATAATATCTAATAATGTATTTCCTTCCTTTATGGTTATATATTTCCTTACTGGAATATTATTTGTATTTCTCACGAGGTAATAATAGTTGCAGTTATTTTAATATGCAATTTCATACATCGTAACTAGCTACGACGATAATAACGTTGCATTCGTGATGTAACGATATGTTACATGTACGAGTGTCTAATTGAATAAAATGTTTATAGAATCATTCATTTCGTACGAAATTGAGTTTGAAATAATTAATTAGAAGCGTCTGTCAAAGGTAAGTTGCTTCGTGTGTAATTTAAGTCGCTGAACGTTTATTTAAAGACATTAAAAGCGAACATCAGAGGGCTTTTAAAGCCATAAAGAGCGCTTCCCTAGAACCTAAATGACACGACTATTTTTGACGTTGAGTAACTCAACTAGAGGGACGAGGCGCTCTCACGTTACAGAACTTTTATATTAGAACTTCCATTTTGGTTGTCTCCAATAATTGACTCGAATTTCCTCATGTATTTTACTCGCTGTCACAAGCGAGTTTGCTTGTTTGATGTAAGGTTGAATACTCACTAGAAAATTTAAAACATTTTACATAATTTTACTGTAGGCTAATTTCTATTGTTTGACATATCTGTATTTAATGTTCTTTGGTATATCATCATCAATAACGTGTTTTATTTGTATTTGTTACCACATACAAAAAGAAGACAATAGTTCTAGCTAAAGGGTTCCCTTTAATTATTAACTTTTGCATATGTTTAATGTATTGCCGTCGGTTGAGACAAAATTTCAATATAAGTCTCTGAGATAATTACAATTACTTTTCAGTAATTTGAAACGAGTGACTACATAAAATAAAAGACAAGCAAAACATTTTTACATAACTTTCATATTTTTTATAGCTTATATATTACCCTCTTAGAACAAGAAATAAATATTGAAGTAGGATTAGCACTAAATACTACAGTTACCAATTTATATAAGGTTTTGTATTTTACAGACTTCTACGTACGAATATTTTTATTAATAAATTGCCCTTGGACATGTTTGTCACCTTGTAGAAAATACTGGAAAATCTTTTGCATATATTTTACTGATTTTAAAATGGTTTTACCTTTCCGTTAATAATGTCACTTAAATTAGAATACCAACGACCATTATGTCTAGATTGTAAATAGTTAAAAGGATCATTGCCATCTGGTTAATAATATGGCAAAGTACAATCTATTTATCCTTTGCAGACAAGGCCGATGCTCGTCGGTCAGTGCGTGCCGGCGTCTTGCAATAAAGATGATTTGAAATCTGTATTGGATGCTGCGGAGACGAAAATCGTTGAAGAGGCCATAACTAATGGATTCAGTGCTTCCTTCACTACTCTCTACGTCCGACCTGTCCCTGGCACTTATGACATTTTAAAAGATTTTAAATTTCATATATTAACGTAAGTAACACGTCTCTTTCTATCAATAAGGAATTATCAGTATTAGAGTTTATTAAAGGAATATTTAACACATATAATATTTATAACATTCAATAAATTTAATTATATTTTCGTATTAAAATCACAAATAAAACCAATAAATATTTTAATTCTGTATATTAACAAAAAAATAAATAATAATTGTATTGTATTAAAGACAATAACTAGGTAATTAAGCAATATCAATTATAAAAAAAAAAAAATAAAAATAAAAATTGCAATAACGGAATAATTTTATTACGCTTTTTGATAAATGTTTCCGTTTGCAATTTGTCTAATTAATTCGTATGTATTGAGAACAAAGACTTAAAATAAAAGCGGATGTTTTCAATTCGAACAAGAATTTGGACGGAAGGACGTTTCGTAATATTTTTAATGTATTTATATATATATTATTTATATATTAATATATTTATTTATATATTAATTAATTTAAGATATTTTACATTTACTTTTAACCTGAATAGAAATTCACATAATGATAATTATCAATATAAATGTAAATATACTGGGATCTGCTCGAGGTTCCTCCCTTTTCGTGGTCATATTAAAATAATTATATCCTAACGTACTGTTTTGAACAATGTAATTTTTTTGACTCGGATAAATTGATTACGATAGTGTTTTGTACAACGGTAAAGATTTTCAGACATATCTAGAATATATAATGTATTGATGTAATAAACAAAAATACTTAATAATAAAAGGTGAAATAAAACAATAATAACAAGTTGATTATTTTTTTAGGACCGTTATTTTGACGGTATCAGTGTGGATGTTGGTAGCTTCTATCTACGAAGGTTATTTGGAAAGAAAATATCGCAATAAAGAACCGAAGGATCTGGAAGTAGCCAACAACAATCACAAACCAACTGTTGGTACATTCATTTTGATATACAATTTAATATAACATATCTGAATAAATAACTATAGACTACTTTTTACGATTTTATATTAATTTTAATTAATAATTCATATAATATTTCGATTGTCATTATAATTTCAGAGATTTATTAGTACAAATTAAGTAATTAGAGTTTAATTTCAGATGAATAACAATAATACACCACAAGTGACTGAAAAAAATGTGAATAATGATATCAAAGAAAAAGATACAAGAAGAGATGTTTGCGGTAAAAAATATTTTGTTATTACGCCTTTACGTATTATATATTAATTATTCTACTGAAAGTTAAAATACAACAATTGGAATTTCATATTCAAATCTCATTTTAATATTTTTAAATTATAATATTCACAAAAAAATTAAGAATGCTTTTTTTGTTTGTAATCTTTAGGAGTATGGTCTGAAATTCTGCTGTCATTTTCAATACTTTCTAATGGGCGAGCCATTCTGAGCACACAAAAGCCAAACGACGGAGCACTAACTTGCTTACACGGCATGAGGTCAGAATAAATGTTCACAAGGAATTGTTTGCGATTTCTTTTGTATTCCATGTTGTTCTTAAATGCATTTGAATTCTATTTTTATTTCTTTTTGTAGATTTCTTTCCGTATTATGGGTCATCATGGTGCACACGTACTTGACAGTTTTTTACATAGCCGATAACAAGACTATGAGAGTGGTCACTGAAAGGAATTTTCTTTATCAATCAGTTGGTAATGCATCCTACTGTGTGGACACCTTTTTCTTTATCAGGTACCTTAAAAATTTCCTTCTTAAGTAAATATTAAGTAATACGTTGCTAATTTTGAAGTATACGTAAAACATCTTCATTTTCAGTGGTCTCCTCGTTACTGTGCTTTTCTTGAGAACAGAGGAAAGTAAGGCTAATCGGCAAAAAATTGCAAAATGCAGGGAAAATAATAAGGAAACAAACAAAAACCAGAATAGTTATACGAATTCTGCATTATCAGTCTCAGTGGTTAGCCAAGAATCCTTCTACGAAGATTTACTTGACAAGCCAGAAGTTAAGGTTTACAGCAGACAAGAAATCTTCGGGATGACGAAGTCTTTTCTTGTTCTCCTATCATACCGCGTCGTGAGGCTGACACCGGCTTACGCCTTTGTCATCGGTTTGAATGAACTGGCACTTCGATATACTTACGACCACACGGTATTCGAACCGGCAATTTTCGATCACATCAACTGTAATCTTTACTGGTGGCGCAACTTGCTCTACATAAATAATTTATTTCCGCAAAAAGATATGTGCATGGTCTGGTCCTGGTACATGGCTAATGACACGCAATTTTATGCTGTCGGTATAATACTATTATTAATATCCATTAAGTGAGTATACATTTCATATAATGATTTAATTTGAAAATATTTTAATAAAAAATGTATACCTTAGAAGCCATTCAAGAGTTTATGATTAATTATTATCATTCTGACAAATACAACGTTGGATATTTTTTATTGTTATTTATTAAGGTGTAATACCAAAACCTGAAAGCCTATGAAGTATTTGATACTGATTTATTACTATGTATGGCCACAATCAAATATTCGAAAAAAATATAAGACAAAAACGGTAACATAACAAAATGTAATTGTCGTAGGCATACGAGATTCGCGATGGTGTCCCTGATCCTGGTGTTGGTTAGTTCCTGGGCAACCACCATCTACGTGTCGGTGTGGCACCAGTATAAAGCTCGCATTCAAGAGCCTTTTGAAATGTTTGATCCACTTTATGACAAACCATGGTCCCGTATCGGACCTTACTTGGTTGGTGAGTATAATTAATAAATATTTTTCACTGCTCATTATTTATTTATGAAGATGAATATTCATATAATCTTCAAACTTAACCTTAAATTATGAATTATATTTGGTACTGGATAAAAAAACATATAAAAAATAATCTTTGTGTATTGTAATGAACATTTAATTGTTAGATTGAAAAAAAAATAAAAGCGTAGAATTATTAAAAGTGTTTTTTTTTAAGTTTTATCTTTGAAATTAACTCACACAATCTGTTTAAAACAAGACAAATTAATTACTATATTAATTTTTAAGCATATATCATATTTTTGTAACAAATGAATTATTGTTATAAATTAATTCATATTTTTCAAATTGAAAAATACTCAAGAAAATGAGAATTGTTGTGTACAATTGAGAATAATTAAAAGCGAAACGATTTCTTTGAACCGTCTGAAATATTATCTTTTAAGATTTGGGATTATAAAGCCCTTTCATTTTTTGTAGGTTTATTTGTGAGTACAAAAAATTATTGTGTTTAAAAAATATTTTACAATATATTGTTATTTCTACGACTACACTCAGTTTTCCTACGAGAAAGAGATTGTTAATTGTTGCTATGGTATTTTCTGCTTTCACATCTAATTAATTATGAATATTATTGTTTCAGGAATGATCGTCGGGTGGTATTTACATAAAACTAAGTGTCAAGTAAAAATGCCATATTGGTTAGTAGCGATCGGTTGGCCAACTTCACTCATTATTATTGCCAGCCTCATCTTTGGTATGGTAGACGGATACTTCGAAGTCTGGCCAACCGCCTTTTACGTCAGTATTGGTCATACAGGTATGATAGAAGAAAATACAGCAAAAATTCTAATAATATCACGTTCATTTTGCCTACAATAATATAACCATCGATCATAAAATGATTATGCATATAGCCTTGAAGTATTCAAATGTCCTGAGAAAAACTTTTAAATCTTATTGTGGTTTACTAGCAATTGGTTTGTTGTATAAGATTGTTATACTTTGACGACATCTTATATATTATTTTTCACATAGGATGGGGAGTAGCTCTCGCATGGATTTCAATAGCCTGTTGCTGTGGTTACGGAGGGCTCATCAAATCAGGGCTTTCTTATCGTGGACTGCTACCACTCAGCCGACTAACGTATTGTGCGTACCTCGTGCATCCAACCATCATGATGTATACCTCCTTCTTGCTAGATGGGCCTTTACATCTAGAAAACTCTATGGTGGTAAGTTATAATGTATACACAAATGCTCCTAATTAGAATTAGTTGCCTCTCTTATACATATGAAAAGTCAATGCATTGTAAACGACTGCATAAATATTTTTAACCGCATTATTACGTCGACTCGTATCTTTCTACTTAAGATATAAGTGACAACACGAGTGTTCATATTATTTTACTATTTGTATTCATCAAAATGATACAAAAAGGATTTATGTATTTTTTTACTCTCAGATGCCTTTTTCCCTGGACGTAACATATAGGTATATATTTAGTATACTTATAAGAAACAACATATGTAGAACAACAACTTAAGTTGAACCTAGCTGAATGAATATGTATGTACGTACTAGGCGGTCCCATAATGAATTGGTCTAACTTTGAACTAATGAGAGAAATGAAACGAAACCAATTTTATTATATTAATCACCATGACTTTAGCAGTAATTTTGCATGTTATGCATAACACTATACTGTTCCGCGTTAATACAAATGTGAGATAATGTTATATTTTCTACTGTTCTTGTACCCTTTAAATATTATAATCCAGTGAAAAAGGTCTAAAATTGAGTCACTCTTCGGATTCCGACACACAAATTCAAACGCTGTATATTTAGTTCTTTATAAAACAAAAGCCTGTGACACGGTGTTAAGTTCAATATTGAATTGGACTGAAACATTTTCCAGGAATAGAGTCGTAAAGCGTACTGCGCGTTAAATTTAAAAAAGTATTTTAGTGCCTCGAGTAGTCATTCACATTTAAAGAAGAAATGAAAAACTCAAACAATTTTTGGGCTAGTGACATATTCCAGTATATATTTAGAGCACTATTAAATATTGAATGTAATTTGATATATATATCGCATTCTAGCAAAGGTTTATAATTGTCGATAAAGCTTTCTCTCGTAAATTGTATAAAACATGTATTTTGTGGTCCAAAATTTATGTTAAGGATTTCTGTAACAGTTTAACCATTTTGAATGTTGTTATTGAGAAGAAAACTTTACATTGTGATATTAATTTAAATCTTTTAAATTAATATTCGACACAATTTTAATTGGCTATTGTTATTAACTGAGGGGCAATGTTATATAAAGTTATAGTTTATTAAAACTAACAGTAACCCATAGTTTTAGTGTTATGTTATTATGTTACAGAATTTAAAATATCGGTGTCACTTACAAGATACTAAAAATGATATGTTATTTAGAATTCAAACACAGCTTCGTATTTGTTGAAAAACCTCTTAAGTCTTACTAAAGTTTAATTTATATTTCAGATACAGTTTCACATTAAAATACTAGTAGTAAGTTTGAAGTACAGGATTTGAAATATAATTTGATTCTGTAATTTTAGCTCGTGATATACTCGGGGTACGCCGTCATGGCATTCCTGGCTTCGTTCGCTATTTCACTGGCATTTGAAGCACCCGCAGTGAGGCTGTTGAAGATTATCACTGGAGGTAGCAAGAGCGAAAAATAGTCTGAGTAGCAACATGTTATATCCATGGAGCTGATTAAAACAAGAAAAGTATGGGATGAACCAAATAAAGTGGGCCCCTTATACGATATTGCCTCTTTAATGGAGCTTTATTTAGTTTTACAAATAATTTAATTATTTCGCTATAGTTACAATTAAAATATAGTAAGCATACCAAGTTACCTGTAGGAGAATAATGACAGTTTTTTATATTTTTTCTTCCTATTATTTTTTTTATTAAATCTATCCTTCTGTAATAGTTACACTCTCAAAAAATAAATCTCAACATTTAAATAAGTAAGTGCGTCTTCTATTAACAATTCACTGTTGAATTGTCCATATTCTGTAGGTATCCACATTATATGCCATTATATTATTAAAGGTCTACCATAATTCATCATGTTGATAGAGCAAGGTTAAAAACTAAAACTAAGTTGCCAACTTTGTTTATTACCAAGTATTCTGATAGTTTCAAAACAGTATCAAGTTATGTGTCTAATTGAATACTAAATATCCCATAATATATTTAGAAGAATATTTTTTTTAATACAAATAATACACACTTTTAAAGATTTCTTATAATTTTCTTACATTATATCCATGACCACCTGTGTATAAGTTTTTGAATCGAATATTACTTTGTACATACTCTGATGTAAATATATGTATATTAAACAATAATATAATTTATATTTCTAGTCGTTAATTATTTTTTATTTTCTTCAATATCCTTTCAAGTACTAGTATATGTCTATACAACGAATTAAATAAATAATAAAAACATGAAATTCAATATAATAAAAAGTCCTAGAACCCTCCTTAGAAATTTAAGTTCACTTCTGGGCACATGGGCAACCATCACCATTTCAAAAATTTCACCTTCTTGTCCCCCATTTTTATTAGGATAAAAATATAAATTTGCAATTTTTTTATATTATGAACTTTACTAACATAACGATGAAATGTAAAAAAAGTCGAAGTGAAAATCCAATCTCTTTTAAATATTCAGCTCAATTGTACGTAGGAGTATTTGATAACAGTTTTCAAGGTATTCCAGTACATTCAAAACAATTATGTTAATTTTATATCGATGGAGTGAAAAACTTTCGTGGAAAAATAACAAATTGATAAGTTTTTTCAAAATAGAATAATATCATAAAATTTTTCATTTTATAGTTTAAAATTCTTTAAAATAAATTCTTATTTTAGACTAAAACAATGTTTAATATCCCTTTTACATGTTGCTGCCAAAAATCTGATTATAAGGAATATAAAATCTGATAAAATATTTCATTTGAAAGCTCCGTAACCGTCCAAAATATAAATTAATTCATAAATTTTCATATAAGGTAGTCTGTATTTCTTATCTCATGTTAACAGATGAATTCAATTTGAAACTATATTATAATTTATTTATATGAGCGGACTCACTGTTATTATGCTAAGGAATAAATTAATGCAGGTTTAATGAATTTTGCTCACGAATACTCGCTACATTAAATATTTATTAGACATACTATTAAGGACCTAAACATACAAAATTTAAGTAAATGTTGATGATGAAGGAAATAAATCGTACATTCATTCAATTTGAAGTTATTCAGCAAGTTTCCTCTTATTAACAGACGGAACATAAATATCAAGATGAATTTTCAAGATAATTGTGTAATTTCATTGACGATTTAAAAACTTCAGCTAATAATGTTCTAAGAATTAATGTGATTTGAGAAAAAGTATGAAAAAGGAGGCAAAGGTATATAAACAAGCGGATTATTTACTAAATATTATGCTATACTCGTTTTTATCTGCGATTCGGTTCGGTTGAATATTAGAGCTGTGACTAGAGAAAAAATGTAAAATGTGTGGTCAAACAAAACATATAACAACATATGTTGCTTTCTTTCATTTTATCTAACCTAGCCTAATAAATATCTTCCATGACGATTTGTGAATCTAAACCATCTGGGGTGCCACTCAAATGGTTTTAAAAAAATTCATTCAATTCGAAGCTGCCATTTAAGAAGAGTTTTGTGACATACACACGTAAAATAAAATTAATATAATACAATGAATAATGTCAACGAAAAATATTTTTAAATGATATAATACGTTTCGATTCGTTTATGATGGATAATACTAAGAATAAATTGACTTAAATAATAATCATATCACAACTTAAATGGAACCTGGTAGTGGTTCTTGCGTAAAAGAATGACTCCCACACATACATAGGTACATCCATATATATTTTTTTGCATTTACAATATTAGTAGGATCTTTATGAAAAAATCTATTCAGTGTGATATATTGTATCTTATTAAATAAATTACGAACGTAAGCTTGCCCGCAACACAAAAGGAATTTTTGTTAAATAGAACACAAGGCATTACACGAAGAAGATGAAAAGCTTTCCTTTTTGCCTCATCAGTTTAACTTTTACTTTATATTGCAGGTATTTCTTCGTTATATATGTTTCATTTTCTTTTCATATATTTGATATGTTTGCTATAAAACATATTTTTTGATATGTACATATGTATATACCATAAATAATAAACATTAACAATTGCAACTTCCTGACTTAGATCATAGATTTTAAGGTCTATAATTTTCGAACATACCCGTCAATAATAAGAAGTAACAATATAAAGGAGGAAGTTTTTAAGAGTTTAAACCCAATAATTTTCTTTTTAACTTAGCATAACCAAACAATTTTATGTAATTTGTAATTTGACATTAATTCAACCGCTTCTAATTAATTTTGAGATAAGATCTGTTGCTAAAGTATTTCATTAAAAACAATCACGAATAGTGATTAATTATAATTTGAGTTCTTTTTTTGCAAAATTAATGTTTTGTTAAACATTTTTTTGTATAAACTTTATTTTCTCGAATATTATATGATTTAATTATATCTTTAGTTAAAGTTTTTGTATTATACATCGGGTAAAAATACTCAATACCAAAAACTGGACTCCGTCTAGGTTGTTCTTTTAAATTATACTTTTTTTGTCTAACAGTCAGACAAAGAAATGTTGAAATAAAAAAAGTAGCGCCTAGTTGTTTCATTTATTTATATTATTTTTATTAAACTATATTTGAAAGTATTTTTGGTGAATAAAATAACTACTACATAGTGTGAGGAAATTTACCTTAAATATTGGATTAATAACGGCTTTTGGGCAATGTAGTCTCTGTAAACATCCTCAACCAAATCATTATTCAACGGTACACACACCTCTTCAAGTTCTTTTCATAATATTTTTATTCCAACTATTATATTTCTAACAATGTGTGCACTCCATTGTAATAAAAGTGACGATTAACTTTCAATTTTTATGCGTGTAAAAACACTTTATTTGAAGGCAATTACTTCGCAAAAAACAATCTTAACGGTCATTATACATTGTGTATAATAGAGCGAAATACGAATATGATCTTGTCAGAATCTGAAATAAGAAAAATAGATAAATAATTATATTATTAGAACTAATAATATTAAATATATATGGAAGTTAGATAACTAACCGATGAATATGTAACAAGTGAAATGTTGGTGAATTTCATCGCTGTGAATGCAATCGGTTTTTGGCATCTGAAAACAATACCATTCCATACATTTGTTTTGAAATGATATTTTAATAAAGCAATTTTCTATTTCAAACTTGAAGATTCTTGTAAGTTGAATTAATTCAAAAGCAGTTTTCAATGTAAAAAATGATATTAAAGAAAAACATAAAACATTTTGTATACCTGGCAATAAAGAACAATAGGGCACGTCGACAACGTGGACTCATTTTGTACCAACTGGTGTTACATATTGCTGCAGCAATGTTTTCATTCTGAAATATTTTAAATTAAGTAATTACTGTCTGTAAATCAAAATTTTACTCATATAGACATACCAAAACAATAAACCAACCGCATGAAAAATATCATCTGCGTACCAGCACATTGATCCCACTTGTATTAACGCAGAACCCAAAAAAAGTTTGTTGCTTACCGCCATTATTGGCTCTAGTAGCTAATTAAAAAGAAACATTGTAAACATTCTTGAACATTATACAATTACGTAGTCTTTGTTAAATATTAATGATTAAAAATACTTACTACAATAACAAAAACGACACAGCAAATGTTAATTGAGCTCATAACAATATTTATAAGATTAACGAGAGAAAATGCATCTTCCAAATTACTACAGTAACTGAAATGGAGAATTACATTTATTATGATGAACAATGTTTATTAAAAGTTTTAGTATAACAGCAATAAACCTCATTAATCTTTGATGTAATTTTATATTTGATCTAATATCTTCATAATCTTCATCGTCAGTTTTGTCTGTGGTCCCTAGAGATTCCAAACGACGTTGAAGTATACGCAATAGAAGCGCAATATGACTTGCCATTCCAGAGAACAGTAAATCAGACGATACCATTATCCATACGCAGGTTACACCTAAAATTCTTTCAAATTTTAATTCACTATTATATTAATACAAGCGCTATAAAAAGAGAGAACTCTTAAATCAGTACAATCTTAAACAGTTATAAGAATAGCTGAATCTCAAATAAGTCGTGGAAAAAGTAATATCTGGCATATGATAATTTATAGAAAACTTTTGTTTTACTTATTTGAGACATCATAAAGAATACATCAGAGACATATAAGTCCTACTGTTAGTAAAAAGTCTCTGAAACACAAATATCAGCATTATTTATCCCATAAAATACTAAGAAATCTGTAGATATCTGTTCACATTATATATCATTGTTTCCATTGGTAACGAAAAAAGTTAATGAAGAAATAAGGGGATCATAATAATTAAATGGAAAAAGGAATAAAACCTATGTTTTCCATTTTTCCATCCATAACAACGTAAAGCTTATGGTATTTATTAAGTTTCTTACATACGTATATTGATGTTGATTAATAATGATCTTTTGTTGCAAGATTGTATCATTCTCACTACTTACCAGCGAACATTTCGAATATGTAAACCGCAATATGAGCAATGGGTTCATTTTTATCAAAAGGGTACCAAGACACCCAAACAAAACCAATTTTCGCGTCATATCCTTGGCAAAGCTGGTAAAAATATATCAGAATAGGAGTCACATTGTAAAACCACACTCCTGCAACATTAACACCGAAGTACCCTGAGGAAAAAGCAAAATATGTATGAATTGATTAAGATATGTATGTATTGTTATGTGCTTAATTTTATAAACACAGTATTTTTATGACTTACAACGATGACTTATTCGAAGAGATGTAACGCTTTTCTTTTTTATAATCAATGCATCCTCATCAATAGGGGGCATGGGCCATATACTTGCCAGTTCATCAATCAACTCACCGAATACTTTATTTTTATACCACAAAACGAACACTTTAGCTATACCTTCGAAGAAATAGAAAATTTTTATTATGTGAACATGAAATAGCAATATTTAAATTTTCTTGTACATAAATAGGAAGTACAATCTTACTCAGAGAGCCGTAACCGAACGTATGAAAAAGAGGAACAACGTCCTCCACACGTGGCGAGTTGTAGAAGGTGAGAATGATGTTAACTAACTCACAGAAAACGTGACCAAAAATTCCACAAACAGACGCTATAAAAATAAGTTTCTGACGAAAATAAGCGCCAGCAGTTAGAGTTTCATCAAACGATAACCCGATGCGACGCATGCTGAATGTGCTTAGCATCAGCGACTCGTCGATTTCACGCTTAGCTGCGACCCTAGTGACGTCATCCATTTTTAACACCCTTGTGTCTCTAACACTTAGACGATCTGGTTATATATACCATGTCCAGTGATAGAAAACGTATATTAAATTAAATTTGTTTAAAAATGTATGTTTGTCTGTATTAGTACAAAAATACAAATCAGTATTTTTCATTAAATCACTGTACTTTTTTCATATGTTATACATATATTTTGAAAGAAAACAATTGCATTAATTATATCACATGTGTGATGTGTATATTTGATACGTTATAATTCAACGTTGTTGTTTTAAATTCACATTGATATAGGCAACGTCAAATTATACGCTTGTATATAAAACAAGTATGAAAAAGAGGCGTTTTATAAGAATATATAATAGGAAACTTTGAAGCTAGAATATTTAAATGCGATTTAAAGGATTTCTTTCATATAATTCTTGTTTGTTCCTGACAATACAAAAGTTTGACATCTAGTTTATTAAAGTTTACTAACTTGGAAACGAACTAAATACCATTTTTACATATGAATAAAACAATGTGTTTAAAAACTATCAAGAATATAATATACTTTTATTACGATATAAACTGTAGCTCAAATAACAGTTAAATAAGCTCCTGAAATCTTGTTACGATTTTAGTCACATAATTGAAATTTTTAGAACAATTATCGATTTCAGAAACAAAAATCAAAGTTTTAATCTTAATTTCATAATTGGAATATTGGGATATAAAGATAGTTGTACAACTATAAACTTGTATTTCCGACTGAGTTTTTATGAAAAAAAAATATAAATATAATACCCAGCACAATATTAGCTCTTCATTTATGTCACTGAGGAAAACACTAAAAACTAGAGAGGACAACTACTCGGAATGATTGAGAACATTAGTGACCATACGTCAGATGATACGAATCATTGATGTCGCTGAAGGGATTTATTATGCTCTACCAAGCTTATCCTGCTCCAAAGTCGGTTGTCATGTGACATTCAACTGACTGACAAAAAATTGTGCAGAGTAGGTGTAAGTTTAACATAAAAAATATATACTTTAACATCTTATCCTTAATAATGAACAAAAATATCGGTATGAAGTTAAAAATCAAAAATCAGCTAAACAAAATTTAGCAGAAATCAGCAGTCTGTGACTATAATAAAATGAAGACATTAAAATACAGTTAACATATTGTATGTGGATTCAGTATGCAAGTTAAAATTGTATTTTTAATATATCAGTTGTAGTTTGTGCATCTGTGGAGTGATGGATGGATGTTATAATATCCCTAGCTACTACAATATCCATCCATCCATGTTAATGGATTATTTGATTTTATTTTACGTTAACTTTTACTTTACTTTGTGTCCCTACTTTTCAACAAAAGATTTATTTTTGTCATTTTAAATAACGGGATTTGTTAACATGTTAACATGGTCATAAGCTAAAGTAAACTGGCACTCAAATTTCAAAACTTTTAAGATCTACTCTGTTTTACAGGGTCGGATTGAAATTTGTAAATATTTTTGTCATATGCTCTGAGACTAACTCGAGCCTAATAAGAATAAAACTTAAAAGCAACCAGGCATAAAAATCCTAGCCTATAATTCATTTTAGAATATTTAAAGGTTTCACTTCTTATTAACATACGAACTTACTCGTATATGTCTCTGATGAATATTTTTCCTTTTTCTTTTTTTGCCTGTTTTCTCTGATTTTTGTGATTTAACTATGTTCTGATAACTAATTAGCTTATTTGCGCTTCCTTCTACAGAGTCCGATGAAGTGTAGTAACATTTGCAGCGTCAGTCCTGGCGTAATGGACACCGAATTTCTATGCTATTTCCTCGGTTTTAGACTCAATGAACCTTAATAAAGAGAAGAGGTCGAAGTATTTCATTGTTGTAAATCTAAAATATTGAGTTAATTTAAAATGACTCTTTCAGGAAGTGAAAAATACGGCTGGGTTTAAGTAACGTTAAATTCCACAAGATTAGTTTTACCCTATTCGTAGAATGACTGGTGGGTGAAATTAACACACTCTAACATAACCCTTTTTTACAACTTTAACTGACGCCCACTGTTTGCGGGGTTGATCCTCGCTAAAACCGTTCTGTTATTGGTGTAACCAAAAATACCCTTCAACAATCTTTAACGTATAGCCAAATTAGAGTCGCGGATAAATCACACGCATGAAAAATGCCTGAATTGACCACCATTGGCTCAGACGAGCAGCTATTAACAACATCTCCTAGAGTGCAGGCCCGCAGAAATTTGAAATACATGCAATCAGACCAGGCTATGTAAGGTACGAGACAAAAAATGTAAGTGAGTCTTGTCTATAGGTAGTGGTAGACTTATAAGAGATTACAGTGTAGATTTATAATTATTTACAGCCATCCTACAACTTTACTTTTCTTTTAGGAACTTTTTCCTTTAATTATAGTAAAAAATATAAAAAGAAAAAAAAAAGTTGAACGAGGCAGGGTAATTACTAAACAACAATACAGACACATTCTTGATGGTAGTGGCGGCTGGATCTAGAAAAAAAATATATATGAGATCTACCCGTGACCAAATGACGCAAAACGTAACTCACTCCGGCTCTGGTCCTTTACGTACCCGAAAATAGCCGCAATTTTCCCAACATTGTTATAAAGTGACATTGTTTAAATTGCTTTAGTTAGTATTGACCAAAATACTTGTGTTTTATTACACAGTTGGGACAGGTAGCCTTTTATGCAACACATCCCTTTACTCTCAAGATCATTCTTAAAATGAAAATGGATGTAAATATGGAATTGGTAAATAAAATTTGTAGGTTTTTTTTTATGTCGTCGTTTCGATTTCAGTTTATGTTTATTTCTAGTTTTGAAAAATTGCTTAGATACAATAAATAACTAGTATACTGAATGACACTTAAAAATGACTTATTATTTAGAGAGTAAATCATGTGCATATTTAATAAATTTTAAAGCTATAATCTTTAATTTGCAGTAGGAGTATATGGAATACCTTATCCATTTAACATGACTTCAACTCTGACTTACAATTTTGTCTTGTCAATAAAGAAAGACAGCTAATACGTTTTCGTTACATATATTGAAAACGGACGGGAGAAAAACAATTTTTACATACAGAAATGTAAAATTTTGGAATAATATTGAAAAGAGTTGAGTCTAGTATATTCTCATTACATAGTAAAATATAGTGGTTCAGAGTAAGAATAAAACTCATATCTCTTTTAAAACTATTCTTTTAATAAAGTATTCTACATAATAGCATTTTATTGAAAGCAATCAATACTGGCTCTGAAGTCTAAGATGATATCTCTTATAAGAAAGATATTTCCTTTTGCAGAATCCTCCTTTTAATATCGAACGTGGGTATGTTGTGAAATTGTGTGTTCAAATGACTGTTGTTAGTAGATATACATATTTAAAACAATAGTTAGCTATTTTAAGAGAAATAAATATAAAGTCCAAATGCAGTAACATTTTAAATGTAAAAAGTAGAAAAGTTATGTTTGGTGAAATGTAAGCTTATGTTAACATGTATATTAAATTTAATTGTTCAAATTTAATTTTAAATACAAACATACGACAAAGAAGATTTTGTAGATATTTTTTACCTTCAGTTACTTGCCTTCAAAAGAGAAGGTGGTCAAAACGTCTGTTTTTTGTTTTGTTTTTAACTTATTAGTTCCGATTTTTTTAAATTTTAAAAGCTGGTGCTTCTGATTTTTGATCTACTCTTGACAATGGTAACCATGAGAAAACCATATATGTAAATTTAAAATTAGTATGTGTACGACAAATGAACGAGTCACTTCAACTTTAACAGATTTCGATTTATTTATTTATAAGAATAGACTTCCCAGATGAATTCCTGGGAAAACTGCGGAAAATTCTTAAAATGTTTAGTCAAACGTAATACACATTAAGTAATGGTATTATTTAATATTGTTATTAACCACCTTTAAAGGAGGAGGAGGGTATAAATTCGTCTGAGTCTTTCTTTATGTATGTTCCCTGATTTCTTGAACAATTCCGGACCAATTTAAGAAATTCTTTTTTTATCTGAAAGGTTTCAACCCCCAGGTGATTTTATGGTCAGCACATCAGGTTTTTATATTAGGATCCTCTAAAAATTGAGAGAAATATGAAAAATAAGGGAAATTGCTTTTTTGACAAAGTCTTTCTCTGCGTTTTTCGGATAATTCTTGAAGACGTCGTACTATATTTTGTCTTTATTACTCTTGAGATGTCCATTTTCATATTATTTTTCACAAGAATATAAAAATAGTCTTCGTTTATCCAAATTTGGTGTTTTGGTGTAGATATTTAGAATTAAGTATTAGATAGGATAGTTTAGGAAATAGTATTTAACTGTAAAATTTTTTCTTTGCTGTTTACTATACCTATGTTTTTATATGTTCGTTTTTTAATTCAAAAATAGTTTTATTCACCTTCACCTGTTTTTTATACTCGATATACTATATATAGGGGGATTCCATTTTATTTTCACCTTGAATTGTTACCCAATATTATCTTTTTATACAAGAAAAAACATTTGAGATAAACTAAATAATATTATAATTTAAGAAAATATTGAGGTTACACGAATTATATATAAGAAATTGTAAATTACTACCCTTTCATCTTGTTATGGATGGAATTTTTCAGTTCATAGAATACTTAAAGTTGATCTTTTCAATAAGATGTTTTTTCTGGAAACTATCTCAAACGTGACATTATTATTTACATTATTTTAATATCATCCAAGAAAATTTCTCGACATTAATTCCACACAGGTGAGCTGGATGATAAATAAAGATCACAATTTCAATATATAAAAATTCAAGAGCTTACATTTTCCTATGTCCTATTTTTTTTAACCCTATGTGTCACCGCTATAACGTGAAAGTAAATTTATTTCACACAAGATAAACATGAAGATTAATACTGCAGTATATTTTCAATAGGCACTTACAAAGATGGCTTATGCGAGGAGCAGTTAAGCTGTTCCTTTATCT